TTCTTCTTCCCTCGTGACACTACTTCGGCTAATTCTTGGGATTCCTCATCCTCCGCTTGAGCTTCTAGCACGCGGTCTATTAAAATCGGTCTGACCTGGAAACTAGCAAGTAAAGCTTATTCCCGATCTTCCACTCCTAATTCCATTCCTATAGATCTCAATTATGTGAGAAAAGGAATATGGCAATCATATAAAGCATTAAGTTGGCCATATGATTTTCTGCTGAGTGCATCTGCCACCACATTTGTACGACCATGATGATACTCAATCATGCAATCATAATCACTGAGTAATTCTATCCATCGCGGCTGTCGAAGGTTAAGATCTTTTTGGGTGAATAGGTACTGGAGACTTTTATGATATGTGAAAATCTTACACTTTTCTCCATATAAGTAATGTCTCCAAATCTTCAGGGCAAAAATGATGGCTGCTAGCTCGAGATCATAGGTAGGGTAGTTCATCTCATGTGGCTTCAACTATCACGAGGCATATGCAATCACCCTACCATGCTGCATTAATATGCAACCTAAACCATTCAAGGAAACATCACTGTAAATCTCAAAATTACCACCGTTGTCTAGAAGCGCCAAAATAGATACGTGAGTGAGACAATACTTTAGCTGCTAGAAACTTAGCTCACAATCATTGTCCCACTTAAATCTAACATCTTTTCTAGTCAACCTCGTCAGTGGTAAAACTATGATTGAAAAATCTTTAACAAACCGTTGATAATAACCTGCTAAGCCTAGAAAACTTCGTACCTTAGTGACAATTTGCAGCTACTCCCAATTTTCAACTGCAGCTATTTTCTGTGGGTCCACCTGAATACCATGAACTGATTTACATGTCCCAAGAATCCCACTTGATCTAACCAAAACTGGCATTTGCTAAACTTAGTATATAATTGGTGTTCCCACAATTTCTTCAAAACCAGAGTAAGATGTCGAGTGTGCTCTGCTTTAGACTTAGAATACACCAAAATATCATCAATGAAGACGATAACAAACCTGTCGAGGTATGGCTTAAATACTCGATTCATTAAATCCATAAAAGCTGCAGGTGCATTCGTTAACCCGAATGGCATCACGAGAAATTCATAATGACCATATCGAGTCCTAAAAGTCGTCTTAGGAACGTCTTCACTTCTGATCTTTAATTGATAATACCGGACCTCAAATCAATCTTGGAGAACACACACGTACCTCGAAGCTGATCAAATAAATCATCTACAAGCGACAACATATAACGGTTTTTAATCGTTACCCGATTCAGCTGTCGATAGTCAATACATAGCTTCAAGGTTCCGTCATTCTTCCGTACAAATAATACTTGAGCTCCCCAAGGTGAAGTACTAGGCTGAATGAAACACTTATCAACCAATTCCTGCAACTAAGTTTTCAATTCCCTCATCTCCGCAGGAGCCATTCGATAGGGAGTTAAGGAAATAGGATCTGTACCTGGGAGTAAATCAATAGTGAATTCCGCCTCTCTATCTGGTGGTAATCTAGGTAAATCATCAGGGAAAACATTAGGAAAATGCCTAACTACCCGTACATCCTCCACACGGGTAGGTGTATCCTCATTCAATACCACGTGAGCTAAATAACCCTGACAACCTTTCCTCAATAACCTTTTACCCCTCACGGCAGAGATAATGCCATGCCTTAGTCCACTACGCACACCCATAAATGTAACCACAAGCAAGCTCGGCCGATGAAAAGTAACTGTCTTCTCATAACAATCTATCTTGGCACGATTGTAATGTAACCAATCCATGCCCAAAATAACATCAAAATCAACGATATCTAATGGAATAAGATTAGCTGGCATGACGACGTCCTCCACTAGAACAGGACATCCTTGATATTCCCAGCTAATATAACATGTCTCGCCTCTAGGCATTGAAAATTCTAACTCATAACCGAGAGATGTGGGGTAGGGTTGCGTTGTCTGAGTAAACGTATGGGAAATAACATAGTGTGTGGCACCAGAATCAATTAATACTCTAGCAAAATGACCAAGAATATTCAACATACCCATGATAAAGATCATGATTGTTTTGAGCATCTTGCAAAGTGATATGGTGAACACGACCTTGAGGTTGTTGCCGTCCTCCATGACCCTTGTTAGCTTGGTTTCCACGTCTATGTATACCTCGTCCCTGACCAGGCTGGTTAGGCTGCCTCGATGATCCTACGCTGCTAGAAGCAACCTCCACGTTCTGGGGACCGCCCTCCGGGATACCACTGTGATCCACCACCTGAATATGGCGTGTAACCTCCTAGATACTGAGGATAACCTCCCTGATGATACAAGTCATGTGGATATTGATAATGTTATCCAGAATATGGAGCTATATCACCTTGATAATGATATGCTTCACCATAACTTGTCTGGGTATAACCACTAGGGCCGAGATCTGCTAAATAGGAAATGGTAGTGGCAAGACGGATGGCTGGGGCTTCTGCTGATTTTGAGGGCACTGAATAGCCCGATGTCCCATCTAGCCACATGTGAAACATCCACTGCTACCTCGCCTACATTCCCCAAAATGCCGATTATTGCACATGCGACACAGTTGGGTACCTGGACTGCTAGAATCTCTCTATCTCTGGAACCGGGAACCTCCTGAAAATCGGCCGCCTTTCCGCTGCAGTGGAACTCAAACCTCTACTAGAAGAACTAGAACTAGTACCACTTCTCTTAAAACTCTGTGTCTTGCGAGGTCCCTGAGATGACTGGCCTTTATCTTTATTATTATTTTTCTTCTGGCTATTATCTTTTTCTTCCTCTTCTTCACTGTTACTTGACATATTTTCAGAATCCTCAACCTACAGTAAAATCTCATAAAACTCCTGATATGTAGAGCAGGGAGTAGTGGTCTCCATAGAACGCCACTTCTTTTGAGTACCCCACTTGAATCATCGAAGCATCTTAGCAAGATTTTTAGCAATCTCCGGACAATACCGAGATAAATCAGTGAACTTTCTATAATACTCATTAGTTGACATTTTCCCTTGTTTTAGATGCATGAATTCTTGCTTCTTACGATCTATATACTTTGGAGGTACAAATCTCTTATGGAATAGCTGCTAAAAAATCTCCCAATCGGCGGCTTCCTCTGGTGACAACTGAAAAGATTCATGCCTCCACCAGGATGCATCTTTCTCACCCAAAAACCAAGTAGTCGTCTCGACCCATCTATCCTCAGGGAAATTCCCCTGTCGCTGCATCAGTCGATAAGTTTTCTCGACATGATTGAGCCAACGCTTAGCTCCCTCGGGCCCCTCATTGCCAACAAAATTATTCAACTTTAAGTTGTACACAGTCTCCAAGGCAATTCTCTGGGGATGACGAAATGAGGACTGAATGGCATTAGCCATAGCCTTCCCAAGTTGGGCAATATCAGGAAAATCAGACTCAGATGAAGTATGTGGCTCTTTTCGAGGTGGCATGGTTCTGACATAAGACGTCAAAATGATTAGAATACTCCCAAAATATACAGGACTGCCAAACCTAGGCTCTGATACCAAATTGTCACATCTCGGCCCAGACCCCTACCACATCTCGGGCTTAACTCTGCCGTAAAACGATATTGTCTGCTTTGGGCCCCGACCACGCCCTCACGGTTTTGTTTCTGGAAATCACTCGAGAACTTCCCAGTGGGTCACCCATCCTGGGATTGCTCTCGAACGAACTCACTTAACTTTGGAGTTTAGATGGAACCCGAAGCCAGTGAGCTCCCAAAAGGCCTCGTGCTAGGTAGAGATGAAAATATACATATAAGGCTTAGAGGATCCACTTCCTTGGGCAATGTGGGATGTTACATTAGAACTAGTATTTGGGTATTTCTGTTTGAGACGTACGAGATGAAATTTTCATATACGGTTCTCCCGTAGTGATTGTACATTGCCAAATTTACATTATTTAATTGGGACGGAAAAGAATGACTAAAGGAGATGAGAGACGAGAATTGACCCAATACTTTTAAATGTTGGCACGAGAATTAACTTTAAATTGTGTTGACATAAAGTCTATAAAGAGTCACACTTTGCGAAAGTCTCCTTAGCATTTATTATATTTCAAATAGAGAGATTATATTCACACAACAAATTACTTTTGCCATACTCGTTTATTTTCTTAATATTTTTTTGACACACCACTAACATTTGAGAGAAAAATATTAAAAAATTAAAAAAGTGTGTAGAAAGTAATTTGGGATGTGTAAATATAACATCTCTTTCAAATAAGATTTTTATATCAAATAATGTTGTACATTTTGTCAATTCAGTAATTTGGTCTTATTTGTTTCAAACTCATCAATTTCGTCTCTCATCCCCTTAGTCATTTCTTGTAGTCCTAATTAAGAGTAATTGTCATTAATAGTCAAAATTTAATACCAAATTTTATAAGTGTCACGTTTTATAAAAACTTTCAAATATAACAGAAAACTCATGTGAATAGAGTTAAATACCCTCAAAATTCACATCCATATATATAAGAAATTCAAGAAAGTTTGGGATTCAAGATTGCGGTCATGGGTGTCTTCCTAACATTCTTGATGCCTGTAATGAATAGTTGTTTCTCCATTTGCTCCGTTAGCATATTTTGCATCTTGAACAAGCGCACCAATTCTCATTTGCATGTCATGTCAATGCATTGTGTCTGTGCGATACTCAGTGCCCAGATGAATGTTTCAGAGTCATGAGCTGATTGAGGTTTAGCACACATACAACCATATGCATAATGAGTCAAAACATCGATATTTATGATATTGGGTATTAAATTTTGACTATTATCGATAAAAACTCTCTAATTCCCAACCATCTAAAATCTGGATTCATTTTTTTAATACATCGATATTTTTATACTAAGGAAGAGAAGTTCGGCAAAACCACATAATGTGCAATTTAATTTGATATCGAAATCGTCATCCACGAAATTCGAACTTAAGAGCTCTTACATTTAAGGGAAGATGAATACCAATCCTAAATGTCAAAACCCGGATTCATCTAATTAAACATTTTTGACACATAACACAAAATCCTCTCTTTCTCTTGCCAAAATTCGAAATACGCATCCACTGCCAAATCCTATTTCTCTCTCGTTCTCTCTCTTCCGTTTCAGGCGAGGCAAGCTGAGCCTGAGAGTAGCAAAACTGCTGGCTGCAAAAAAACGAGGAGAGGAACCAGGCGGAAGGCGGCGAGCCAGAAGGCGGAGGCAGAGAAGCACAAGGAATCGAGCAAAGCCACAAGGACGACTCGGACGACGAAGCGGGTGAAGAAATCGGAGCCCCAGTACTTGGAGGACCCCCGCAACCTGCAAGATCTATGGAAGGCTGCATTCCCTGTTGGCACCAACAATGTCTACCTCTTTGGCTGCACTGAGCGTAAGCTTACTTGTCTTCTCTCACTTGCCCACCTTCTCTGTTCTGTTTTCTTTATCCCGTTGAGTTTTAATTCGGAAACCCGCATTGTCTTTTTCGCAGCTCAATTGGTCTCCGTCAATGGTGAAAACAAAGTTGTTTGCATACGTGGTGGTCGCGGTGAGTTTCAACATCTCATCTCTGTTTGCTCTGCTAAACTAGATTAGACATTTGGTCCACTCCTTTTAATTTTCAAAACACAAAGCAAAAGAGAAAAACCCTTCATTTTTTGGAAGCTGGACTTCATACTGTCTAATTAACAATAACGAGACTGGTTTACTGATTCTTCAAACTATATATTAAATTGAGTTTCTTAGACTGCAATGCTTGCTTCGTAGAAATGGTTTTTGTCTTTGTTTTTCGTTGTATATCTCATGTTTGTAGAAAATGGTTTATTTGGTTATGAAAAAGCAAATGAAGTTGAGTTGCAGTTGCGTTGCAGAGTATTTTTTTATATTGAATTTGCATCCTACATTTCTTCTTTCCTTTGTAATTTGTTTCTTTCAACTTTTTACCTGGTTTGTTGTAAATGATTAACATTTTGGCAACCGCTAAACCTGATTTGTAACGTTCTTGTGCGTTAGAATGCGTATTCTTGATCTCTTGCTTGCTAAATTCTTTTGATTATGGTTTTGCTTTGTTACAGGTTGTGTCGCCTTTCCCCCCTTCCGATATGATTGGGATTAACTCAGTTCAGAGAGAAGCGGAATAAATAATTCCCATGAAACAAATAAAAATGGTTGGATTCTGTATATTCCTCTGGAGAATAGGTGCACTTTGAGTGTTGGTGGTTTTGAACTGATTTTAGGACAAGCTTCTGTATTGACTTTTGTTTGTCAATGTCTTGATATCATTGTGCACTTTGAACTTTCTACAGAGACAGCCAAGTTGATAGACTTAAATCACAAATATTTATTCTGGGCTGCACTAAGAGAAGGTGCGATCGCACTCTTTCACTCTCCCTTTCTGTCAGTTCTTTTATTTATTGTACTCTATGTTTTTAGGTTTTGTAATCAGTGTTACGTTACTGCTGTATGGTGAGTTTGGAAATAAAATTTTGAAATTATTAGAAATGCTTTGTTATTTTGAGTTGGTTTGGTTTATCTCAATCAAAGCCATGACTGCGTCTCTAACTTCCTTATAACCAATTTGAACTGATCATTAAATTTTGTGTGGTTTCTTGACAATTAAGTATAATAGTCTTGAGGAGCCATGTTTTATTTCTGCTTTGTAGGAATTTTTTTTATATAAAAAAAATTAGAATGAGTAAATCTTGATTGATCTATTTGTAGTTGCTTTTCTGACACTTTTCATCAAAGGTTAGTTTATAGACATTAGTCACAGTATGTTGATTTGCTACTGAATGACTTACTGTTCAACATACATGACAATGTTTAACTGAACCTATATCATAACATTAATTTTGACTTGTGTGTCTGATTTTGTCATTGGCTGGCTTTTAACCCTGGATTGAGGTTAACCAGTGAAGCCTCCTTAGCTGTTTCTTGTCTTAACTGAAAGCCTTTGTTTGTACTCGAGATCATGTGCCATACATTGACATGCATGCTCTATATAAATTATATAGTATCCTGGGTCTGAGTTGCCTTAGACAGAGTGGGTTATGTCTTCGTCATTGCAACTTTCTTTCTGTCCTCTGTTTTACAAGTATTCTGTTACCTCTATTGTGTTTTGGGTTCTGCTGTTGAGTTTTCTTACACTCGTTTTTTTTCAGATCAGTTTTTATTATTTATTTGTACCTTATTCGACGATTTACGGTTTTATGGCTATTTTATATTTATGTTATTTCAGGGCTGCTTTGAAACACATGAAGATAGAGCGACTCAAGAAACTTGACTACTGCTTGCCATGTAGATTTCCAAAATTCTCTTTTGTTTTTAACCTCGCCTAATCTCACATTATCTGATACTCTCTCTCTCTCGCTCTCTCTCAAGAATGTTTTTCAAATTTTGTATTGTTATGGAGTGAAAACAGTATCTACAGCTCATGTTTGATGGTGATTAATCATCATTGTTTACAGTGCATGCTAGACTGTACTTTTTAAAATATATTTATGTTTTTTTTTTTTTTTTTTCCGGTGAACCGTACTGGTTTTGACATGTGGTCATTTTGACAGATTTCTATCAGCTCTTCAAGGAAGATGAGCTCGAGCAGAGCACTGAGGTCCCAATAATGTTTCCAGGAGGGCCAAAGCCGGTAAGGGTAATAATTATTAGTTAAACAAACTCATGGACAAAAACTATTTTGATATGAATTGTATGGGTCTATCTGGGTTTACGGATTTGATGAGAAGGAGTGCTGAAGGGCTTAAACCTAAGTAATACAGGATATTCAAGAATTAGTTCCTAAATTGAAAAGATATATAAAAAAGAATTGGGAAAAGAAAGACTGGACTAGGTTAGCTTCCAGAGATGTAGCAATGCCTAAATTAATATTCTTTTCTTCCTACATCCTCATCTGTTCTCTTTCCATCTGAACTTTCATTTAAGTACAACACATGGGCATGCTTTCAGTGAGATCTTTGTCAAACATGCTGTTACTGTTGGATAACTTATTTGGTTTTGCACACCCCCATTTGAACCCTATGAGGCTTATGCTGGTTGTCTCCCCTCCACTCCTTTGGGTAGACCGTCCCTGTTGGGCTCGGTTCAAGTCTCGAAAAATCTGAAGGTGAAGTCACTGATTTGTCCTGAGAGTGGGGAGTGGGAAATTGACTTTTTAAAACCTTTCTTGGCGGAATCAGAGGTTGAGGCAATCTTGGCTATGCATATTGGTGATCCGACGCTCAAGGACAGATTGGTTTGGCCTTATGACAAGAGGGGGTCTTATTCAGTCAAATCAGGTTATTATTGGAGTCTCTCTCGAAATATTGATCGCTGCCATCAATAAATGAAGAATTTATATATTCGTAGATCCTCTCTTTCTCCCATTTGCCCTCTCTGTAATTCTAATGATGAGTCCATTGAACATCTCTTTCTGTTTTGTCCTTGGGTGGAGGTGGTTTGGTTTGGGGGTATGCTGAACTTGAGACCTCATCCGCTGCATGTTTCAAGCTGGGCAAACTGGATTGTGCAAATGGGTGATTTGGAGACTGGGTCAATGGAGGTGAGGATTAATCGCTTATCTTATATTGCTTTCACATGCTGGCATATTTGGAAATCAAGATGTGATTTCCAGTTCAACAACCAAGTTATATACCCCAACAGGGTGGTAGCAGCTATCTCCAGATCGGTCTCGGCTTATCAGGATTTTATCAACAGGCCGAGTTTCCCATCTTTGCTCAATCAACCGAACTTGGGGGATGAAGTGCAGTGGTCTCCTCCGAATCAAGGAGTCATCAAAATTAATGTGGATGCTAGCTGGGATGCAAGTGTGGGTGGGGGCTTCATGGGGGTGGTGGCGAGGGATGAGAATGGGCGGTTTTTGGCTGCTTCTAGGCTTAGAGTAAAGGCTACAGGTGCTACGATGGCTGAGGCTTTGGCCATTTTACATGGGTGTAAGCTGGGGGTTAGAAACGGGTGGAATTCCATTTGTATTGAATCGGACTCGTTCGATGCAATTTCTTGTCTGAGGGATCCGGCAAAGAAGGGCAGTTGGGATGCCTTTCCCATTCTTAGGAAGTGCTATCGATTGGGAATGGCTTTTCAGGCTTGCCACTGGTCTTGGGTACCAAGACTGGCCAACTCGGTAGCGGACTTTTTGGCGTCGCGAAAATGTAGGGAAGCATGTGATCAAATATGGGTCCATAGACCCCCATCTTCCCTGGTCCATGTCTTATGCAATGATGGTCTTCCTTGCCCTCCTTAGTATTTTTTTGTTAGTTTAGAAGGGACGCTTTAGCACTAGATGCGGCGTCACGGCTCCCTTGTACCTTCTTGTATTTCCTTCTGTTGTCATTGCTGGTGTTTGTTTGCCTCTTGGGTAGGCTTTCTTGTTTCTTTTTGGCATCTTTGCCCGGATATATCATATCTGTTTTCCAAAAAAAAAAATGTCCATAAATTTCTGGAATTGGACCAATATATTACAAGATCAAGCTTTTCATTTCTGCTTTTGCACAAACAACATACTCCTTGATGTACTCATATGAATTTGAATGATTACTGTATACTTTCAGGTCTCTTGTGAAGTGACTTTCTTTTATGGCCCTTTCAGGTTTACTGTGAATTTGATTGGGAATTGGATGAACTGGAGGTACATAATCAAGCTTTTGATGTTTGTGCATGTTTTGGATCAATTCAATTGTGAAATCACATGGCTTATCGTGCTTCTTATCAACTGTCTTTTGCATCTGGTTGCTGTCCATTGACACAGACACGGTTATTTTAAATGGCTAGGATTATTTTATTTATTTAATTTTTTTTTTTTTTTGAGAAGAAACAATTTTATTAAAGAATAGAGAAATACACAGAAGTGGATAAGAAGTCCACCAACAAATTAGAAAGGAAAATCCCAATAGGATTTGGCTACAGCAGCCAATTCTAGACCTAGCTCACTTAACTGCTGCTAACAAATCCCACAGTATTTGAGATAGAGAGCAATTATTAAACTCTTTTATTATAGCCCCACTATTCAATTAATTAGATTATTTATTCTTTGTAGTCTTATATAAGAAATCATTACATTGACAGTATCTGGCATTTTTCAGGCAATTACAAATACATCAACGATGCATTAATACATAATGGAATTACTTGAAAAATGCCAGTATCTGGCATTGATGAGATGATTATTGACTCCCTTTTTCATCAATTTGACCCAGGAATGTCCCCAACCCCCAAAAAGAGGTCTGATGATATAAAAAGAAGTGTGTTAACATTTATTTATTGATTTACTCCCTCTATTTTTTTTTATTCTTCAAGTACTAGTGTGTTTGCAACCTTGCATTCTTGTAACCATTTTTCCTAGTTACAAACATTTGGTAGGTTTTGATCTGTGAAGTGTTAATAGCATGTCCTGGTGACTTCTTATTGCTTATTAGCTCTGTCAAGGGGATGCTGTTGTTAGAATTTTTTTTTTATTCCTGGCTTAGCCAAGTTTTGTTGAATTTGTTCCCTTGCCAATCCCCTCTCTTTAAGAACAAATAGATGATATGAACAGCAATAAAGAGCATTGCACTAAATTGCATCTAAATCTGTAGGAGTTCACTGATAACCTGATAGAAGAGGAGGAATTATCTGCAGACCAGAAGGATGAATTCAAGGTAAAATGTACTAAAGATGGTTGTAACTCATAATTTCCCACTTCTCTCTGCCTCTTTCCCCTCTACTTGCACCAGTAGTGACAGGTTTTCCTTTTTTGTTCTTTCTCAGGAGTTTGTCAAGGAGAAGTCCGTGAACAAAAGAAATCTAATTGAGAGGTATTTTCTTTTTGGCAGATATCATGAATTGTATTTGTGTGTTTGAACAATATTTGTCTAAAAGTATACTCTCTTTTTCAGCGGTATAACTTTTATATTTCTCTTTTCTATTCTTTTATAGGCCAGGGAAACCCGGAGAAAAGCCATTGAAGAAATGAGTGAAGAAGCTAAAACAGCATTTGAAAATATGAGGTTTTACAAGTTCTACCCTGTGCATACACCAGATACTCCTGACATTTCAATTGTTAAGGTAACGTCCCAAACACTGATATTTTGGATTTATATTGGTATGTGAAAGCAGCTTTGAGTCAGTTTACAAGGTTGAGGGTTGCGGATAGTTGTCATGTTTTAAAGGTGGATGTTCAAAATATGTTGAAGAGTCTATGGTTTTCCATCTTGAATGTCCTTAATGTTGCTTCTTGTTCATTGGAAAATTTGGTTGAATCAGAGGTCCTGTTGCTTTACTGAGCAGATGCAGCTGCTTTTTCAAATGTATTGGTTGTAGCACTATCACTATCAGTCGCTAGGATAAAGTTTCTGTCTGCTTATATGGGATTGGATTTGTGTCATTAATGCCAACTATTTTGTGTTCAATATGGTTTTATGCCTTGTCTTAAACTTAAAGTTCTCTGTTTCTCTCGCTTCGTTTCTCAAAAGAAGTTGGATCTTGCATCTTGTAGGCATTTTTTGTAGTGGGTTTGAAGTTTAAAGTTTAAACAGAGGGGTTCTACGTGATGGTTTCTGTAGGGTGGCTGTTTTTGTTTAATGTGGAGAGGAAGAAACTAAACTAACTATTTGGCTAGATTTTTTCTTAAAATGCATTCGATTTTATGGCATAATCTGGATATTCAATGCCTTTGATAATAGTACGTAATATTGGATAATGAAAATAACAGAATTAAGCCATGTCAGGTTGTCAACAGACCATTCCAAAAGTAAAAGCAAAGGAGAGGAAAGCTTGTATTGCCTTTTTGTTGGTGGGTTGCAGGGATTAAACACCTAACAGAGAGATCTAGAATGAGTACGAAGAGGAAGTGAAGAGTGGGAGTGGAAAGGTGATAACCTTGAGTTCTAAAGGCCGTGTGAGCACAGCTGTGATCGTGGATTCTGATGTTATATGGTAATGATTCAAAATTTAGGCCTGACTCGAAGAGAATCCAGATCCTGAGAAAATGTACGTGAAGGCAGTTGGGCTTCCTCTCTGTAACATCATGAATATAGTTTGTATTTCGAAAGTCAAATTCACAAACTTAGCTTCTCATGACATGCATGAATCACATTGGCTTCTCTGATTATCTTGATAGGAAGTTGGTGTAGCAAATGCTTAAGCTTGGTAGTGATATCTTTTCAATTTATTGACTCTTCGTAAAATCAAATAGTAGGTATTGTGATTTTTCGGGGGCTGGTATGATGGTCAAGACATCCTCTCCTTGGCCTTTCTTTGTTTTTTCGTTTTTCATTCCCCCTTTTTAGCATGTTTTCTATTTAATTGATGCTTTAGGGTTTAGAGCCCGGCCCTTCAATATATTTTCCGTTTCGTCTTCCTTTCATTTCTTCCCTTTTTAGCATTCCCCCTTTTTAGCATGTTTTCTATTTAATTGATGCTTTAGGGTTTAGAGCCCGGCCCTTCAATATATTTACTCCGTTTGGCTGGTCTTACCTTGCAGGCTCCATTCATCAACAGGTATTATGGCAAGGCTCATGAGGTGTTGTGATCACCAAGGTCAAGAAGGTGCCATATTGAAAGTCTCGAGCCTCGTTTGGCTGTGCTGAATTAAGCACTCTGTCGAAGACTTGATTGTTGTTTATACTACAAGGTAAGGTATGGGAGGCAATGCCCCTGGTGCCTCGATATCAAGGCATGAAAGTCTCGAGCCTCGTTTGGCGGTGCTGAATTAAGTACTCTGCCGAAGACTTGATTGTTGTTTATACAAGGTAAGGTATGGGAGGCAATGCCCCTGGTGCCTCGATATCAAGGCATGAAAGTCTCGAGCCTCGTTTGGCTGTGCTGAATTAAGTACTCTGCCGAAGACTTGATTGTTGTTTATACAAGGTAAGGTATGGGAGGCAATCCCCCTGGTGCCTCAATATAGAATGCCTTGAATACCGTCGAGATGTCTCGACCCTGGACGGATGTAAACTTGTAGATTCAAAGTTATAGTAAAAATATGAGGGGCTCTTGTACATAGGAGGAGGAAGTTGTAAGATACATTGAGCATTCGAATTTTGTACTAGTTGATCTGAGAAGCTGGAATTTTGTACTAGTTGTGGGTAAATGTTTGTCAACCGATTGACATTCACTTTGTATTAGAAAATTAGGAACTTTAACGGAAAGCTTCACGTACTGTTCACTTTAGCATTTCAAGTTTCTTTCATTAGTTTTCTTTAGAAAATTTGATAGCACACAAAGCACAACACTGAAGCTTGTACAATGTAAATGGAACTTAGAGGCAGCAATCGCTACCAAATCGCAGTCTAGAAATAACGAAACAAAGCAGGCTCAGGCTCTTTCATTAATTAATTAACTTGGTTAAATATCTGTTAATACACATCAAGAGCTTAAAAACCTCCCAACCCCTGGACACAAACCCCTACTTACTACACTCGAAATGCTAATTGTACAAGACGGCCTGAGTTATTTTAGAATAGGCTTTTTAGCCAAAATAATTATTGAGATTGACATAACTTCTCACTTTGGTTTCTGATATTTGAATTCAATAAAAGTGGTCTCTAAGTTTGTTCATTTTCAATCATTTTGGTCATTATATGAAAAATCTTCATTAAATAAAGATAAAATAAAAAAAATACCCTCAATTTTTGTGAAGCTATTTTGGCTCGTGTTTATTAAATTGAGAGTATTTTTATCATTTTAGTCCTTATTTAATAGAATTTTTCATGGAATGACAAAATGATTGATGGTGGACAAACTTAGGGACTACTTCTACTTATTTCAAATTTTAAGAACTAAAGTGATGAGTTATGTTAATCTCAATGATCATTTTGGCCAAAAAGCCTTTTCAGTGTATGATACAACGGCAGCTTCACATAACTTGCCAAGAAGTTACAATGCCAGCTTGAGTTATGCTGAAAGTCAAAAGCACTCGAAACCAGCTTTCATCACCAGTAACAAAGATCAGTGACCCACACCACGAAATGATGTTTCAATTCACCAAGGCTTGCGAAAGGCAAGAGGCCGCGAAATGCCGGAAGGATTAGAAACAAATAACAAAGAACCCCACCCGCCGGATACAGTATGGGAAAATTGTTTTTGTTTTTGCTCCTTAGGGACGCGTCCACTGGTCCACAGAGAATAAGGAGCTAGGTAGATGTAAAGATACTAGATAAGAAGTGCACTGCACAAAAGATCACCCACCATATAACCCAATGTCAACTGTTCCCTCCCAATGTGTCTAGGCAGAACTTGCCGGCAGTACCACACCCAAGTCCCAATAGCACGACTATGAGAGTAACTGGCATTGTCAGTTCTTCAATGTCAACTGTTCCCTCCCATCAGGATCATCTTTGCTAAGATCTTTACATCCTCGTTTATCGTACATCGTGCGGTCATAAATCATTTTGAATTTTGAATTTAAAATTAAACACAAACATTACCTAACGAAAACTGAATGCACGATGTATGATGAACAGATAGGAAGATCTTCACAAAGAGGATCTGAAGAAGATCCTCATCCCAATGTGTCTACTCAGAACTTGCGCGCAGTACCACACCCAAGTCCCAATAGCAGGATTGTGATAGTTACTGGCGTTGTCAGTTTTGCAGTTCCTAACCGCTGGACGAGCAAGAAAACAATTGCAAAAATCATTGAGCCACCAAATATCATTCGACTTACAACTTGAACGTGACACCTTAGAACATGAATCTGTGAGTTGAAAGATGCCATTGGATCCCAGGCTTCCTACTCAACCAAGACTTCGACTCCTGAGACAACTTATTAGTGTTAGTGCATGTGGTGGAGAAACATCATATTTCATCCATATGATGTTTCTCCAATGAAAAGGTAGGTAAAAATTATTAGTGTTAGTGCATGTGGTGCACAAAGGTAGGTAAAAATTAATAGGATTAAATATAGAAAAAACTAACGAAAAAAGTTTTAAACTTTGCATTGTAACAAAAAATTATCTAATAACTTTATCTTTCGTAAAGAGAAAAAAAAAAAATCAAACAAAGCACGTGTCCCGCGCCGCCCACAAATTTTCCATGTAGTTGAAACTACGGCAATACTGATACACCCAGGGTATGGTCCTGAACCAGGCATCAAATACCGGGTATTCCACTACGGTTTGGAATTCAAGGTGGAAACTGGAGCTTTTATAAAGCAAGCAGGAGGAATGTTGATGTGGTTAAGAAGTGCTGGGCCCAACTTAATCGTGCCTTTTGTTTTCCTTAACACGGATCTTTGATAAAGCAAGCTGGAGGAATGTTGATGTGGTTAACAAGTGCTGGGCCCAACCTAATCGTGCTTTTTGTTTTTCTTAACAAGGATCTAAACTTATGAGCTAAGAAATTGAAGAGATTTAGAGAAAATTTGATGAGAATCGAAGAAAATTAGAAGAAGAAAAGGTGTTTGAAAGATGAGAAAGTGTCGAGAAAATGCAAGAAGATGAGAGAGAAGAATGGTGGTTAAACTTCCCGAAGAGGTAACATATTCAGTTTAAGAAATAGTCAGTGCATGCCAACTTGTATTCAGTTTCAAAAATAGTACCTGTATTCAGTTTTAGAAATAATGTAGTACCCGTGTTCAGTTTCAAAAATAAGGTAGTACTCATGTTTAATTTTAAAAAAATAATTAGTTTTTAGAAATAGTGTTCAGTTTCAGAAATGGTATAATATCATTCAGTTTCAAAAATAGTGTAGTAATGTTTAGTTTAAAAAATAGTGCAATATCGTCAATTTCAGAAATAGTGTGTGCGATGGACGCGCGCGTGTGTGTTAGTTTTTTTATTACATTTCCTATTTCATTTTTTATTATATTAAATCGTTGTCTGTTTCATTAAAATTTAAGTCATTTTCATTAACATTTAAGTCTTTTTCACTAAATAAAGTTTATATGACAATTTTTGGTTAACATAAACTTAGTCTAAGCCATTTTCATTAAAGCTCCCATAAATATAACATGACTAACCAAATTCTTAAATTCTAAAGATTTAACAAGCTAACCCAAAAATTGTAGCTTTAAAAGACAAGTTTTTATTGCAAATGATCCCTAAAATTGACATAACTCCTCCGTTTGGTCATTGAGTTTCAAAATCGATCGATTTGGGGTCAGATTAACTACAACACATCAATGTGGTCATTCCATTAGAAGTCTGTCAATAATAATTATATTAGTGTGTTGATGTATTAGGTATATATAAGATCCACAACAATATAGTGTCACGTGGAGTATACAAAACAATTAATTCTTTTAAAATCAAAATTATAAAATTCATCTTTCATTTCGTTCTTTTCCCTTTTCCACCATCACTATCATTGTAGTATGAATCGCTACTGTCATACCTGGACAAATCATCATCTATCGCTGGTGGCACTGACACGGTCAATCCATGTTTGTAATAGCGCAAATTCCACAACTTCGATATAGTCGACAAGACAGAGTGGTTGTAGCAGAGGTTTCTGTTCCTACCAAGGTATAAAATATCGATGATATCGGAAATATCGGTAATCCAAAAACATGGAAATTTCGATGGAAATATTGGGATATTATCGATATCGATAAAAATTGAATAAAAAGTAAAAACCACGGAAATTGTAAGAAAAACTTGGAAATTTTTATTGAAACTTTGCAGGATGTTTATTTAGTCAATTATCTATTAGTTTATCACAAAAAATTGGAAGGAAATGCATTGCATGATGGATTTAACTGATTTAAGTTGATTATATAACGAGCTGGCAAACATTGTGAGTGTAGAAAATATGTAGTAATTAATGAAAGAAGTTTAAACACACCATAATCATTTATATATAATGAATTAGTACAATATTTTACACTTTATACATTGCATGGTAAGATACATGAGTGACTTAGTACCATATAGAGTTCCTATGAGGTTCAAAATTTTCACTATTTTCATGGTAAAATGGATGACTTAGTACCACATAGAGTTCCTATGAGTGATTTAGTAAAATGGGAGGGGTTCAAATCCCCTTGGTGTTTTTTTTAAATATAGAAATTTATTATAGATAATAAATATTAGCTTGCAAGCCTTGCAGACATCTTAACGACCATATAAATATTACAGGTTAAATATGTAATCACAAACCAAGGTTCTAAAAAAACATTAGGCGCTAGTCGGATGGCGGGCGGAGGGCGGCGGGCGGCGGGTAAAGGCCTAGCGCCTAGGCGGCTAGGCGGGTGCCTAGGCTGCTAGGCGGATTTATATAAATTTATTATATATCTTCTAAATAAATGCTTATTTACACTAAAAAAAATATACTTGTATAAATAATAAAAGAATTATAAAATACAAAACTAATACACAAAGTACATCTATCCAACAAGTTAAATATTTTAGAAAATGGTAAGCATATAATCATAATGAGAAGTATTCTTGGATGTTAGACTAAATTATTCTTATTTATGATCATTGCATTAGATTGAGTATAAATTAAATAACTCATATGGCATTTAAATAAAACATTTATATATGTATATGTATATGTATATATATATATATATATATATATATATATATATATAACTTTTGAAAGAGAAAAGCCCACGTAGTGGGTTGTTGTGAAATTAAAATCCATTGAACGTGCACTCCACCTCTCACATTACCCAAGGTGAGCGTGCACTCCACCTCTCACATCCCAAATAAAGTAAAACACCTTCCCAATTTCCCATTAAATCTGTTCGGTTCTCATCTTCCTTATCTCTTTTAGAAAAATTAGAACCACAAAGTGAAACAGAAAATGCAGCTCACACAGTTGCACCGCCACACTGAAATGTCAAATACCCTCTCTCTCTCTTTCTCTCTCTTTCTCTCTCTCTCTCTCTCTCTCTCTCTCTCTCTCTCTCTTTGTGTGTGTGCGCGTACTCTCTCTTCCTTCATTTGCTCACAGACGGCAAAGCTGCAGAAGCTCGCCGAGATCGGAAGTTGCAGATTCAGAGTTGCTGTGCGTTTGGGATTTGCAATCGCCTAGACGGGTACCGTCCACCCGGGACTTGGGCTCGCACACCCATGGCTCGCCGGACTTGGGTTGGGTGTCCTCTGGGTGCCTTGGAGCTTCACGGAGATGAAGGGAGAGAGGGTTGATGCTAGTGATGATTTTGGTACCGTCGTCGATGGGTATGGGTGTGTTAATGGGTGCATGAGTGTAGATC